TTCTGAAGAAACCACATCGAAGTTTCTTCCTTGAAGTGTGATAGTACTGGCCACAGACGCCAAACGGAACTAAAAGTACTCTGTCGTGTAGTATGCCTTCTTGTTGAAAACCTCTTCTTCCGAACACTTCCTCATACGTCAGGACACATCTCCAAATCATTCTTCCATACTCTGAGTCCTGTGGGCCTCTGCAAAAACTGAGCATCATATTTTGTTTCTTCCTTTTCAGTATAACGGCCACGCTTGCAGCCATTGGAGCCGCTTCTGTGCCCAGTGCCGGATTGGTTACCATGGTGCTGGTTTTAACCTCCGTGGGGCTTCCAGTTAACGACATCACACTGATCTTGGCTGTCGATTGGATGCTGTAAGTTTCTTGTAGAATATCAACAGCCTTCCCTGAATTCTCGAGCTTTTGCACTATAGGACGAAATATATGCCATAACCTAAATGTTTTTTTAAAGGAATCCATATGGATCACTTTGATATACAATCAAGGTAGTTTAGTTAGCTTAAGCATTTCCTGCTTAACCTGTATGCAATTTATTGCATTCTCTGATCGAAAAAGCTTCTTTATGTATTTTTTTATTATTCCAATCCTTTCTTGTGGAGTTTTTTCCAAAAGTGCTCGATGATTACGGTGGAAATAAAGTAACCTGTGATAACTAGAAGACTAAGTGGAAATCAATTATATGCATTCCTCCCACTCGCTCGCAGAAAGGGGACAAGAAACATCCCTTCGTAATACATGTTGAATTGCGCTACATTTCAGGAAGGTCACCTACATCTGTGTGCCAACCTTAACACTTGCACTAAACTAAACTTTAGCCATAGCCCTAAGCTTATCTCCAAACCGACTCTTAACGCTAAATTTAAGTCCGTACTAAGGGGCGCTCTCATGCTACTTGTTTGCTAGGAGGCCCATGTTACCTGCTTCTGTGAAGTGTTATATTGACAAAATCTCAGGAAACTTCCTGAAATACCTATGCTTCATTTGTGGCAATGTTTGGATGTGCATAAACCTTAAACTTCACTGACGGAGACCGTGGCACGGCATTTTGAGAGACTAGTCTGTTGACATTCAACCAATCGCAATGCTGGAGGAGAGAACCTATCGGGAGGATGGAAGAGAGCCGATCGCTGCGAGTCTGACACAGAAGTTAGCTGTCCTCCCCTAATCATGGGATTCTGGTGTTTGAGTACCATTTT